AAACTAAGCTTTTCAAGAATTTTAAATTTTTATTTTTTTAATATTTTGCTTATTTAGTTCGATATTTAAAAATCAAAGGTGTCCGTAATATTCTCTGTAATTAAAAAAATGTATTGGTGTGATTACTTTTGAACACTGTATATTTAGAATTTTTCTTAAATATATTTTATTTATTTCGAGATTACAAACACACTTCTCGAAAATCTACAGAGTATGATACGGTTAAAAAATAAATAGTAAAAATAAAATAAAATAATAAATTTGAAAATGCGATCAATTTAATCTCTTATAGTACCGTCATATGATTTATGTACTGATAAGATCTAATAGAAAAAGGTTTAAACCATAATGACCGGGGCTGTTCCAAGAATGTAATCTTTATTTTCGTTGCTTGAAGTATCGATCGCCACCAAACAAGTAAACTGATTGAATCCATTTAAGGTTCTGCCTACTGGGAAAACCCAGTTTGAAAAAGTTTTGCCTAAAGTAACAATACTGTCGAGATCTAATTGTACGTTATTGTAATTAGTTGGGTCGACGACATGGAAATCTAAATTTGGTGGACTCACGACTTCATCACAATTTTCACAGCAAGCCTTGGCTTTGATTAGATAACCGGTAGCTTTTATGGAACAATTTTTAAATTGTTGGAATTGAATTTGACCAAGTATTCGTTGATGTTTATCGCATCTCGTAGGTATAAAGTTACAATAATCAAGTATACAATCGCAGCATTGCTTGGGCTTCGGTTCGCAGCACGGCATCTCTACTCCTCCTCTTTTTACTTTAGACGGATCATCTCTTATAATTGGATAATCATCGCAACAGCAGTCATCTTTGGGGTGGGGGTGCGATTGTGGGTGTGGGTGTGGTGGTATAATACCGCCAGCATTGACCGATGGAGAGAGAACAAAGATTAGAACAACCAAGAAAAATAAAGAGTGAGATTTGTTTGTTCATTTTTGTTTAATAAAATTATTGGATTTTGTTGCTTTCCAATGTTGGGAAAGAGTCCAAATC